CGCAATTCGTTTATATATGAAACCAACTTAAGGCATAAATGCGGCCGATGCAAATGTAGGCGGTAACCTTTATCCTATGTATGTTTAAGTATTTGTTTATTTGCAAGAAAGTTTATCGTTACAAAGTACTGATTGACCCTTTGATTTTGCGCCCCCAAAATGTTGCGCCTGCCTGTGTGCACGCACAGCACGCTCGCCCGGAACTGCCCTGGTTCTATCTCGTATTAAAAATACTAAAAATCACTGCAACACTGCACAGAGTTTGACGGCGGCCATTTTTGTTGTTTACAATTCTTGTGCTTTGGGTTTGTGCTCAGATTAATGTCGTTTTAAAGTTGTGTTTCTTACAGAGGAACTTGTAAGCCTTAAATAAGGCCTTAAAGTGCCAAGAACAACCATTTTACTCCTCTTTTGTAAAAAATAAACCTTATTCTATCAGGGCTGTCATCAAACTGTCAAATGTCAATTTTAAGGTTTATTTGTGGTTTATGGCCGCCGTTAAAATATGTGCAGTGTTGCAGAGATTTTAAGCAATTTTAGTATGAGATAGAACAGACCTTGTTGTGTGGATTGTGGGTTTTAATTACTCTCTTGAATCTTGAAACGTTCTTTTACACTTAATCTTTGAATTTGAATCCTAGACTCATTTGACATTTAATACATTTCAGGTTATGTATCTGTCAAAGTATAGTCAACGAAAGAAATCATATTTATATGTTTACCGTTTATGTTTAAGTATGAGTATAACCGGCCCCATTGCTTCATCGCTCCCGGGTCCCGCATAGGCCTCTGTTTCCTTGCGTCGATTTTATTTCGCCACCAGCAACGGCACGGCTTCACCCGTGTTTGCTGGATGCGAATGTCCATTGCGACCCGTAGACAGTACTGTCCTCTATTTAGGGCTCGAGAACGAAATGCCAATAGTTTTAATAGCCATTCCCGGGTTCACCGAGCCGATTCTATACGCCCAGAAGGGTCATGAAGAAGGTAGGACGGGAGGGATAGACATTTTGGTGTTAGGGGACGATTACGCCGACTCAAATCTAAGTACGACGCGGTATCCCCCTAGACCAGGCAGTTAGTATTACTCCAAACATTTGGGATTACTGTATGGAGTTGTTATTTTGCTGCTTTTTGTAATATTTATTACCGCAGTAGTGCGAAATATCTAACAATTTTTTAGTCGTTGTGTTGTCGAAGCACGTTAGTCATGTTTGTTTTGGTCTCGTTTTGTTTAAAGTTTATTTGTTGCCTTACACGTGTGTTGATGACAGATTTATTGTCCTACTCAGCTTTCGTGAAAATTACCGTAGGATGGGGGCGGTTTTGTTTTTTTTGTTATGTCTTTATTTTTGGTGTTTGCTTACTATTGTCTTACTGTTACTATTGTTACTGATGCACGTTGTTTATTTTATGTTTTTTTCTAGAGTTTAAGCAAATTTGCATTTAAGTGCCTAATTTGAGTTTTAAGGTAACTGTCGTGTCCAATGTTGCTAATTATGTATTAGGTCTTTAAATATTTTAAAATGAATAGGAATTTGGCAGTGTCTAAATACTTCCATTAAGGTTCCAGAACTTGAGAAGGCACCACGCGAGAGCGAGAGGTCTTAAAACGCAGTACTTTAAAGATGAAAACCAACAATAATTTTTAAAAAAGTGCAAACCAATTATAGTGAAACAAACAATTTTCATAGAGTGCAAATTAAAATGGTGTAACGGTCAAAAGGAGTGAAGTGTTAAGTGATATGAATGAGTTACGGGCCACCTGTCATTGGACGCTTTTCACTGGACAAACAAAGGAGGTCAAACAAGAGGGGAGGTGGCCATCCGCAAAAATTTGATAAGTAACCTTAAGCAAATATGCATGACCTAACACATAATCTGCAAATTAAACACGACAGATATCTTTAAAACCCTAAGAAAGGCTCACTGCGTAGAACAATAAATCTGTCAACAAGAAATGCGTAAGGCAAACCCAAACGAGAACAATAATAAACACTAGACACACAGAATAAACTAACACATTAATCATTATAACCCTAACATAGAAAAAAAAGCATAATAACCAAACTCTACTGGATTTGTAAACATTAGATAACAAAATAATTTCGCTTGTCATTTGTTTAACTAATAAATAAATGCAATACTTAATTTAGGAATTTAAGAAAAAAAAACAGAAAACTCTACCACAAAACGTGCTTGGGACAAAAATTACGCAAACGGAAGATCATTACACTACTAACGACAGACTTACCCGACTACCATCCCCGCGACCTGCTAATGGGCAAAACCAATACCAAAAGGGTAAAAGTAGCCCAATTAAAATACTGGGCTCACGTCACTCGTAGGCAACGCAACAACATACTACAAGCCACCCTTAAACTAGACCTTACAGACAAAAAGTCGGGAGACCATGCTTCACATTTCATGACACGTTAGCACAAAACATGCACTTCTCACAAATTAACAAGACCAGTTGGGAGCAACTAAGCAACAAAAAAAAAACAACTGACACACTTTACCAAGTGCAGGAACTATCTGACCAGGATACGGACAATGACAATAACGAACAAGACGAAGACCTCGACTAGGAAACTACACCCCTGCAGCGAAATAACAACTCCCCAACTCCAAATAGTAATCCCAAATGTTTGGAGTAATACTAATCGACTGGTCTAGGGGGATTCCGCGTCGTACTTAGTTTTAAGTCGGCGTAATTGTCCCCCAAAAACCAACAAACGTCTATCCCGCCCGTCCCTCCTCGGCGAACCCGAGAATGGCTATTAAAACTATTCGCATGTCGCTCTCGAGCCCCAAATAGGGGACAGTACGAAACGCAATGGACATTCGCACCCAGCAAACACGGGTGAAGCCGTGCAGTTGCTGGGGGCGAACAAAAATCGGCGTAAGTAAACATAGGCCTGTACACTGTACAGTGTACAGGGTCCGGGAGTGATGAGGCAATGGGGCTGGTTATACGTCTCTTATACTCATCACTCAAACTCATACTCATACCCATACTCAATAGGTATTTGACAGTGTCTCAATACTTCAAGCGTGTAGTGCCTTACGTGTAGGTATTTGGGCTATGTAAAAATGAATATTGTATGCTCTCTACTTGAGTCAAGAGTTTAAATTCGAAGATTAAGTGGAAGAGAACGTTTTAAGATAGATAGTAATTAATAAACATAGAAAAAAGTGTCGTCATATACGGTGTGGGCCCTGTTTTTGTATAATAATTTTGTTGAAAATATTGTGATACTATACTACTAATCTTTTTATAAAAAGATTTATTAATTTTTAACATTTAAACATAATCGGTAAACATAGTCACGTACTAATACTCGACGTAGCAAGACGTCTTGCTTAGCGACCTCTTAAAACATAAAAGCTTAAATCCCACAAAATAGTTACTAAAGTGCAAATAAAATATAGTGTAACATCTATAGTGAATATAGACTACCCTACGCTCAAGAAAGTGTGAAGTTATAAGTGTCAGCTACAGGGTGGTCTTACCACCTGTCAATTGGACGATTTTCACGAGACAAACAAAAGATGACAAACATGGGAGTAATATGCCATCTGCATAACGAATAAGTAACCTTAAACATCTACATGACCTAACACATAATTAGCAACATTGGACACGACAGTTACCTTAAAACTTAAATTAGACACTTTGCTTAAATTCTAGAAAAAACATAAAGTAAACAAAGTGCATCAGTAACAATAGTAACAAAAATAAAGACATAACAAAAAAAACAAAACCGCCTACGGTAATTTTCACGAAAGCTAAGTAGGACAATAAATCTGTCATCAACACACGTGTAAGGCAACAAATAAACTTTAAACAAAACGAGACCAAAACAAACAGATACCTAAAATCCAAACTCAGCGAAGATGACTAACGTGCTTGGGCAACACAATAAATAAAAAATTGTTAGAAATTTCGCACTACTGCGGTAATAAACATAAAAAAATTACTTGAACACGGACACCAACAATAACGACCAAAACTTAGACAAAGACGTAGGCCCCTGCAGCAAAATAACAACTCCCGAACTCCATACAGTAATCCCAAATGTTTGGAGTAATACTAACTGCCTGGTCTAGGGGAATACCGCGTCGCACTTAGATTTGAGTCGGCGTAATCGTCCCCCAAACACCAAAAGGTCTATCCCTCCCGTCCTACCTATAGCATCGGCCCGGCGAACCTGGGAATGGCTATTAAAACTATTGACATTTCGCTCTCGAGCCCTAAATAGAGGACGCAATGGACATTTGCACCCAGCAAACAGGCCTGTGCGGGGCCCGGGAGCGATGAGGCAATGGGGCCGGTTATACGTCTCTTATACTCATACTCATAAAAAATTGACTGAGAAGCCCACTCACCTTTCTGATTTGATGCCTTTGATATAATCATTGGTAATTGTGTAACTTCTAAACGACTTGATCGATTGAGGTCAACAATATGTTTGTTTTGTTGAGACGATAATTTATTTATATGCTAAAATTTAATAGGTGGCGCTTTATCAAGTTTACATAAATAATAATATAAACAATTTCAATATTAATTAATCCCGATGCATTCGCCATTCTTGTAACAAAAATCCGCGAAGCGGTATACCGCTATACCTACATAGCTATATCCGCTGTGCAAAGCCCGTCAGAAAATTTTTCTTTTAGTTTTTTGAATTAATAGGTACGTTTTATTATGTATCTACCTTACAACCTAATAATAATACTAGTAGGCTGGAGATTCAAGAAATTGTGAGAGAAATTTTGATTTTATTCGGGATTATATGCTCTAGTCATTCTCTCCTAAAATGAACATCCTCCGAAGTACAATCATCGTTTATCGAAGTAATCGTTTATTTTGAACTGCGTGTTTTATTGATTCGCCTGATTTTTAAGCCTAAATTAAATAGTAAAAAACCTATACACTTTCATTTTTCTGTTGCAATAAAAAGTAAAATTTTTATCATTAAAATATTTTGCAGGTAAAGGCAGGCAAATGCCGGTACACTATGGAAATAAAGAGTTAAATTTTGTCACAATATCTAGCCCTCTTACTACGCAGCTTCCACAGGCTGTAGGCGCAGCATATGCTCTTAAAGGCAAGAACCGCATAGTCATTTGTTATTTCGGTGACGGTGCTGCGTCAGAAGGCGATGCACACGCGGCCTTCAATTTCGCGGCAACATTGGAATGTCCTGTTATATTGTTTTGCAGAAACAACGGTTACGCCATTTCTACGCCCGTAGAGGAACAATACAGAGGTGATGGAATTGCCGCTAGAGGACCTGCATTTGGGATTCACACGTTAAGGGTGGACGGTAATGATACGTTTGCCGTTTATAATGCCACAAAAATGGCAAAAGAACTGGCTTTAAAGGAAAATAAACCCGTGTTGATAGAGGCCATGACTTACAGGTATATTTTTTGTGAAATTTAAAAAGTTTATTTTGACTTAAGGTTCAATATTCAAATTAATATAAAATAAACCCATTGTGTCTTTTCAAAAGTTTGAAATTTACCTACAGTGTAATTGTTTGTAGTATTCACAATCCACACTAGAAGGTCTGTTCGATCTCGTACTAAAAATACTAAAAATCACTGCAACATGCACATCATTTAATGGCGGCCATTTTTGTCGTTTACAATTCTTATGCTTTGGGTTTGTACAGATTAATAATCGTTTTAAACGTTGTGTTTCTTACAAAGAACAATAATTTTACTTACTCCTCTTTTGTAAAAAATAAACCGTATTCTATCAGGGCTCAAATGTCAATTTTAAAATTATTTTATAACCCACAAATTAACCTTCAAATTGACATTTGACAGCCCTGATAGAATAAGGTTTATTTTTTACAAAAGAGGAGTAAAATGATTGTTCTTATTACTTTGAGGTCTCTTTTAAGGCTTGCGAGTCTCTCTGTAAGAAACACAACGTTTAAAACGATTATTAATCTGTACAAACCCAAAGCACAATAATTGTAAACAACAAAAATGGCTGCCTTTAAATGATGTGCAGTGTTGCAGTGATTTTTAGTATTTTTATTACGAGATCGAACAGACCTTGTTGTGTGGATTGTGGTAGTAGGTATGTTCTGCAAAAACAAGGTAAGAGAATAACCTGTCAATATCGAGCGCAAAAAAATAGTATTTTTCACAAGTGCCACATAACTTGTTTTGTGTGTACAAGTTTGTTCAAAATGTTAAAACCGATCGTTTAATTATAATAATTAATTAATTAAATGGCACTTGATTTATTATCTATGCACTTGACTTGTTTTGACAGTTGCATAAATGTCATCTTTGATTTATTCCACAAAATTGAGAATAAGTACCCAAAGATAATACACCCTATATATTGGAAACTGCACTAGCGCTAGCGGCAAAAGGCTAAAGTAAATTAACGACATCTAGGTCTACAATACCATTAGCAATCCCAAAAATTGAAGTAGATTTCTGTAACATATATTAGCGCCATATTTGAATGTTGATGCTTCGTAGGGTGCCTTTATATATTGTATTTACTGCTGTATTTTAAATAAAACAAGTATGAATATAAGATTTATTTATTGTATTAATAATATATTATAAAATAAAATACATACATCTATATGTACATATTAAATACATAATCGGTATACACAGGGCCGGATTTAGGCATGGGCCACATGGGCCCGGGCCCAGGGCGGCAAATTTTTAGGGGCGGCAAATTTTGAAGGCCAGTTAAAATTTTGCTAAAAAATCAAGAGCGTTTTATGCAGAATTTTTGTTTTCACTTAAATTTATACACTAATTAAAACTATAAAAAGTTAGAAGAGAAGTTTTTGAATACATTAGATAATTTTATATCAGACTACACTATTATTCTGCGTAGTGCGTCACTGCGTAGAAGGGCGGCAGTCGATGTACACGAGGCGAGTGGGGCGCGACTCTAGCTTATTCGCTGAGTCATTCGTTATTCGGGGTAATGATGCGTTGGGCCCATGGGCGGCAAATTCGTAAATCCGGCCCTGGGTATACATGAATATGTTTTTGTTTGTGGAGTGCAAACCTAAACAATATTAGTCTTAATTCTTCAATAATAAGAGAATATTGCAAACTTTGGTAATTTAGTCCAGGCTACTTATAGGTACATAAACATATAGGTATTGGTACAAGGCGTTTGAGTGTGGACTTTTGGCAAGTTCTAACCAACCGTGAAAAATCCATCTTGCCAACTATTGGTTTTGAAACAACCATAAGTAGCCTGGACTAAATTACCATTAAACAAGCAATCCTAAATAATTCATAATTAACAAACAGTATTTTTACGCTAGAGCGATACTGCCGTGCTTAGCCAAAAAGACGCAACTCCACATTTTTACTTTATAAATTATAGCGCTTTATTGTATTTTTCTAAGATACGTTCAATTTAATTAGAAATTTTTAGGAGCTATAGTATATTAATATCTCATGGCGGTTGACCTTGGGCGCGCAAATGTCACAAATCCGTCAAATCGCGCTATTACTCTCCGTCCTAAAAACATACTACCCCAGGGTTGCATCAGCTGATATTTATTGACATATTTAAACATTTATAGGCTAGAAATTCTATTATATTTGTCAGAAATTCTATAATATTTGTCATATCATATTTGTTATAACTAATATTATATTTGTCATAATATTATATTAAATTTTGTTATAATATTATATTTGTTAAATTTGTTCTATTATTATATTTGTTATATTTGTTCTATTATTATATTTGTTATATTTGTTCTATTATTATATTTGTTATAATATTATATTAAATTTTGTTATAATATTATATTTCTTATATTATATTTGTTATACGAAATGAATAACGGCAAAAAAGAAGTCATTCACAGCCAAGGGCGGCAGATCGTCTACAATGTTCTCCAATATTTGAAACGCGAGTTGAAACGTGAAGAAGATGGTGAAGATCCTGTTATACCTCTTAGCCATTTACAAGAGCGAGTGGCCGCAGCAACTGGTGTTTCTTTGAGGACGGTGCAAAGAATTAACAAAGAGGGTAAAACAAAACCAGCCGACAAGAAATTCACTTCGCCACGAAAAACTATTAATAAACCAAATCCCAAGACAACAGTGGATGAGTTTGATGAAGAAGTGATAAGAACTATTATCTATAGATTTTCGATAACACATAAACAACGACCAACATTAAAAGCGGTTTTCGAAGCTGTCAAAATTGATTGCCCCCATTTGACTGGAAAAATATCTTCTTTTCGAAAAATTGTCCGAAAATTAGGATTTCGATGGAAAAAAACCGTGGATAATCGCAAACTTCTTGTTGAAAAGACGGACATCAGAGCGAAACGGACTATTTTCTTGAGAAATCTCAAGAAATATAAAGAAGAGGGTAGACACAAGTCTTGGAATGATGGCAGCAATAAAGGTTTGAAATCGCCAGTTTCAAAAGGTCAACGGCTAATAATTGTACACTGCGGTGGAAAAAAAGGTTTTGTGCCAAACGCTGATTTGATATTTAAATCTGGTCGAAAAACAGGTGATTATCACGACGACATGAATCACAATAACTATAAAAAGTGGCTAGAAGAGAAGTTGCTGCCCAATTTAGAGCCAAATTCAGTTCTTGTGATTGATAACGCTTCATATCATAACGTTCTTTTGACACCGAACCCTACATCAAGTTGGACTAAAGCGGCTATGCAAAAGTGGTTATCGGAACGAAATATATTCTTTGAAAATAAGGAAACAAAGCCGGAGTTGTACCAGAAGATTAAAATCAACAAACCGGTGCATAAGAATTACGTAATTGATCATTTATTAGCACAACATGGTCATGTAGTCTTGCGTTTACCACCCTACCATCCCGAGCTCAACCCCATCGAAGGCATATGGGCGTTGCTTAAAAATCATATCGCAGCCCACAATGTGACTTTTAAATTAGATGATGTGTGGAAGTTGGCGGAAGACAAATTGAAAAATATTGGAGTCGAGGAATGGGAGAAAGTATGTGCGCATGTGGCAAAATCTGAGGAGGAGTACATTTTAAGAGAACATTTTACCGACGACGTTCATGAATTTATTATAAGGGTTAATAATGATTCTGATGATGATGAGTCTGAATATGATTATTTTTCATCAAATGAGGATGACGATGATTTCTAACAGCTATGTACCTATCCTTTTGTCTGAAATAAAGCACATTTAGAAGTTTTAGAACTTATTCATAATATGATATATACTTGTTTTAGCAGTAAATCAACATATTTTGCCATACACTAGAAAAATATGAAATAAAAACCTTTAGGTACATTTTTACAGCAAAATTCGGATTATACTCAGATTCTATTCTTTTTTTTTTACTGAAATCCATTATATATTTTACAGATCATTGCTCAACAATTGAAGACCTTGCTGCAAAAAGGGGGTAACTTTTACAAAAGTGACTTTTACACCCTTACAACTGTGAACTAGACTATTCTGCATTGTTTAATGCAAAGATGACTCAAAAATAACTTTTGAGGAGTTACCTCCTTTTTGCAGCAGGGTCTTCAATTGCAGTCATTATCTAATGTTACAATATATTTCATAAAATAAAGAAAAAAAACGCTTTACTATATTAGTTGACAGATGACAGATTTGGGAAGCATCCATAGACATTTAAGTTAACTTAAAGGTCTATGGAAGTGGCGGATGTTTTTAGTTTCCATTTATTTATTTAATTGAATGGCGTCTGTCAGCGTCTCTCAAGGTCACCCGCCATGAGATATTAATACCAGGGTGCGTTCATAAAGGAAATCTGATTATAGGGTGTTTATCTCGTGTGTAATGTGAGTTTTGCGTGGAGTGTTCCTAGGGTGCTGGGTGGTTTTTGAACGCCTGACATTTCGATTGTCACAATTTGCGTTTTTGACGTCAAAGTTAACCTCATGGAAGCAGCTATATTTTGTTCCAGTTTGGGCGTCCAAACATTATTTGAAATTCCAATTGCTTTTTCTGATGCAGACGACGAAAGTAGTAGCGATAACGATGAAGTTATGTTAATGGTTACTCGGAGTAGAAAGTTAAAGAAACCACTACGTATTCAAAACTATCTGACAACTATAAATTGTTTCATATAATATTCAATGCCCAACTTGGCTACCGCTACCGCTGCCTCTACCGTTACCTTTAGAACTATAAATACCGTACGGGAATCTATAAACAGTACTACGGTATTGTTGAACTTTTACGGCAGGAAGGAAGGAAATCTATAAATCAGGCTTTATGCTTAATTAAATTAATTAATCTGGATAGAATTAAGTTAATTTTGTCCAGATACTTGGATTAAAAATTATGTTACAATTATCGATTATGTTACATATAATTTTCAAGCTTTGTTTTTAGAAAAATTTATGTTACAATTCGATAATTATGTTACAAGTGGCAACACTGAAGTCGTGTGAAAAACGCCGGTGTTGTAGAAGCGGTAATTTTCGAACACTCCGAGTGTAGAACTAGGTATTTTATGAACGGTTACACAAAATGTGCACAACGCATAAAATCCGTTTATGAACGACCTTGTGTGCTGGAGTTTACCCCGAGCGTTCTTTATGAACGCACTCCCACTATACTTAAAAATGTATGTATAGTTAAAATGCGTCTTTTTTCTAAGAGATGAATTTAATAATAACGAGATGAGTCTTTTTGGCTTAGGACGGCAGGATAGTTAATACTTACAAATTGGTTACATTTCTGCGCCCAACAACAAAACATTTCACAACCATTAACACGTTTTATCACTTTTAAAGCGCAAAAATGTATTTATTAATTTAAAAATTCAATAATTATGATTGACATTGACATTTGCAAATAGCGTTTGTACAGATGTCTGCAATTTACAAATAGATATAGTTCAGGTATTGTAGCTCTAGAGGGCAGTGGTAGGAGAGTTTCCAATCTATGGGGTGTATTATCTTTGTAAGTACCTACTAAAAACGGTCACCCAGATAGAGTTTCTCTACTGATTGTCGGATTTACTGTGCTAGTGTTGTGTAGATTTCTTTGAGTAGTTTTTTTGAGTTGTGCATTATAAAAATACTTTAATTATGATATAATTATTACGTGGTGCTTTGTTAGTAAAAATGGCAAACCTAAAACAACTACTTGGTAAGTCTTAAGACTTAAATAATTATTTGTAATTGTAACATAACTTTTTGGTTTTAATAAAAAGAAGTTCAATCCAGCCCCACCGAAGAAGTTTATTCTGAACTAATTGTTTCAAACCAGAAAACTGATTTCATAAAAAAAACATCAGTTACTGCTGAGGAAATAGAAATAAGTTACTTGCAGAAACCTGAAAGTTCTGTAAGAGATGAAGAGACAGAAAGTTTAAACTTAGAAATTTCTAGAGGATTCCGACTGTTCCGTGCGAGATAAAGATTATGTGCTTGAGCAAGAATATTTTTACCTTTTATGTGTATATGTTTAGCCCACACACAGATATTATTACAATATCTCGTGGTGTATTATGTTTATTATTATTGCTGTATTTCTGATATTGTGATTATTTGAATTGATTAATAAGAATCTTCTGATATAGGTAAGATTAAGATGGCTTAATAATACTGTTGCCAACAGCAAGCAAATCTACCTTTAGCAGGACAAAACATTAAAAAATGTAGGAAACATTTTAAATTTGCAAAACATTCAGAGTTGGAGTTTATTTCTAATACAAAACAAAAATAAATAAAATACAATAATACAAGACAAAAATAAATAAAAAAATATATTGAAATTATTGACAAAAATAAATAAAAACATTTCATCTAAATTACAAGCAAAAATATATAAAAACAACTCCGTTTATTTTCTTCAAAGGTGATGTACCCACAGCAAATGATTAATTTGAAATGAATTGGATATTAAAACTATATATGCACAAAAAAATGTGTCAGAAAATCGAACTGCAATTTGTGCCATCTATTGGACTTGTGATTTCAAACGCAGAAAAGATTTTATCTTGAACAATGTTGATTGTCGCGTTCCTGAGAGATACACAAAAAACTGAAGGAAAAAATAACCTGCCGAAAGCAAAGTCAGGGTATGTACATTTTTGTTCATTTCTGCATTAGTAAGGAAGTAGTAGAACATGCTTTTAAGAAAAAAGGAATCAATATGGTGGCGATAACAGAAAGAACCACACATTACAACAAAATCTGAAGATAAAGTTAAAAGGCACATTGAAAGCTTTCCAGTCTTAGAGTCAGATTACTCCAGAAAAAGTACTAAACGACAATACTGAGATTGCAAGTTAACTATTATAATATTTATCAGGATCACGTAGCTAGAAAAGAAGACTAACGAAGCAAAAATTTTATTTGTTGTACGTTTGATCTACAATGCGTGCTACAAATTCCTACTAGCGACGTAAGTCCCATGTACTATAGCGCCACCAAATAATGCTTTCTGTTAATCATGGACAGAATTAAATGACAAAAGAGGTAGTATAGAAATTGGAACCTGTTTGCACAAGTTCTTAAATCAGCTTCCTAGCACAGTTTCAGAAGTGGCTTTATTTTCTGATACTTGTAGTGGCAAAAATCAAAGTGTTAGTGCAATACTTATATACCTTGTTCAGAAAAACCCGATTATTATGTTTATAGAGAAAAAGTTTCTCGAAAGTGGACATAGTTACATGAAAGATAATATGCATGCATATTATCTTTCATGTAACTATGTCCACTTTCGAGAAACTTTTTCTCTATAAACATGCATAGTGCAATTGAAAAAGCACAAAAGTATGTTCCCATGTACACTAAGCAGGATTGGTTAACAATTTTTCGAATGGTCCAAGCAACTAGGTCTAAGAAGAAGTAGTATAATGTAGCGGAGCTGAAGTTTGCTAATTTCCTTGATTTAGAACAGCTGTCCAAATCGTTGATCAAGAAAAAACTAAAAAATACCCTTGGCGAGAAAGTTAATTGGCTAAAAGTAAAGTGCTTTAAATACTTAAATTCTAAACAAGGAATGCTTCTATATCGATACGATCACACATCTGAATACCAGGAGATTTTAGTGTTAGCAAAAGGAAAAGGTCGTTCATCTAAAATAACTGACATTAAGATAATTAAAGCCTTCCCTAAGGTTCGTCCAATTAGTTTTTAAAATAAACAAGATCTATTAAAATTAAGCAAGGGTAAAGTTCCCCAATTCCTGAAGAGTTCCACCAATTCTACAAGACTTTATCTGCTCTTAAAGACGTAGAAGACACCATTCCAAAACCTTCAATTGAAGACAGTGGCATGGAAAGCGTAGAGGAAGACTAGATCGGAGTTTTTTATTATAATATTGTAAAGTCATGTTTTGAGTTTTTTCCAGAAAAATGTTAAAAATGTTTAAGAAAAATAAGATGTGCGACAATTTTTCTTCTTTTATAAAAAACTGTTTTTACAAACCAAATTTATTTTAAACGTTTCATTACATTCTAGCTTTGCTGTTCAATACATTTTTCTTTTGACAATATTTTTCAGTCTTTTAAAAAATCTGTAAATAACCAACTAACTGTAATCTTCAGTTTTTTCAATGTAAATAATGGTATTCCGTCAATAAAGATATTTAACATAAACCAAAGTCGATTTTTAAGCGTATTCCAAACTTAAAAAAATCCAATTTTTCAAAACTGCATTTTTGGAGTCTGGTTTATGCAGTAACCCGACAATATATGCTGGGAAGCCCTCAGCATTTAAAACATCTGTTATTTTAAAGGGTTGGTGATCATTCCACATCCGATGATAGTTCTGCGTACAGATCGCCTGAAGAGGTACAGTCTTGGGCAACAAATGACTACCCTACCAATAAACTGAGATATTATATGGAAAAAAAAGGTTTGTGGGACGAAAATAAAGAAAAAGAATTATTAGATCAAGCAAGAAAGAACGTTTTGAAGGCTTTTAACGCAGGAGAGAAAAAATTGAAACCACAGTGGACTGAGATGTTTGAGGATGTTTATAAATTTATGCCCAAACATATAAGGTATTATTTTTATTTATATTTATAATACTTTTTACTAGTGATGAAAAGAATATTGCTATACGATTACGATAACGGTTACGATTCTTCATTCAATAATCGTACGATTACAATTAATAAACGAAAAGTATATGTATCACTCAGTATACTGAGTGACAAAGAAAGGTAAACACCCATTTGTATTAGTAATATTTTATTAATTTTAGGCTTACACGTTTAGTACGCTATAGATAAATATGTATTAGATTTTCAGTCAAATCAAACAACCAGAAAAGGGTAGAAAAGCAAACAAGTTTAGTAATGTGTTATTGATCCTCGATGTTGTATGCACTCAGTGACACGCCTAAGTGCTGCCAGAGTCCGGGTTGGGTGCTGTAAATTTAACAGCCTTCGACTCATCATGTCCCAAACATGTTCAATAGGTGAAAGATCAGGTGATCTGGGTGGCCATGGGTCACCACCCTTTACTCCACAATACAATACAAAAGAAGAAACTAAATAAAACAACAAAATACTGCATGCCAATTTTTTAAAACACAAGTGGCAAATTTTCATAAAAACAATTATCCCTGGTTCGCTTATTGCGGGACGTCTTTATCGGCATTTCTCAAAGAAAACAGGCGCTCGCCGCGGTCGTCACTACTTTTTATAGGCAAATTTATACAAAACTCGGCAATTTGGCATCGCGCTTTTATGTCCATACAGCTCATGGAAAAAAATGTTAATTTAATTAGGATTTAGTTAAAACTAAAATATAAAAAAATGCATAGAGTGAACATTTTTAGTATGTATTTATTTATCATGTATTTTTAAAATAAGTAATACCTATTTATATCCTAGCTTATATAATTTATTTATGGGTACTAAAATAATAAGATTGGAAAGGCGCCTATTATAACTTGGCGCCGAGTGGCACTGCCACCCCGGTAGTTACGCCAAAATTCCATTGATAAATTCGTAAAATAAATGTATACGATAATCAGCGAGAACCCACGCTTAACTTTGAAACAATAATAATCGCAGGGTGAATCGTAATCGCAATTGTAATCGTTGCATCACTACTCTTTATTATATTAAAAATATTTTACAGATCACAAATGGAAGAAATGAAAGCACACGTTGAGAAATATAAGGAACAATATCCAACAAATAAATTTACTTCTTAATAATATTATATTATATTATAATGTATCACCCAATTTTATAAATCGTTTAATAAATGCTTTTTTTGCGATTCTTGTACTTAAACTACTAAAGCATTTCCCTCAACCTTCTCTAAACTGCCAATCCCATTTTTTTACGTTATAGCGTAAATAATATATTTGAAGTAAGTAATTCAATAAGTCTTATTGAATAAGAATAAGAATAAGTATATTTATTGATTGAGGTTCGACGTCTATTTCCATCATCGGGCCGTCGCGACGCGTCGTAAAATTCATCTGTATGCGACTTCTGGCGAACTTATGTCCGCCAACTTCCCAATTTTTGTTGGGAAGGAAGCCAATTTCATTTGTTTCAACTTCAGTAGCATTTCGCCCACGGGTCGAAGTTAAGAAATGAACAATTAAGAAATACATTTTTCGTTTGTCTGCTGCATTTATTCGGTTTAATCCACAAACGTTGAGCTTATCTGAGCTTGCCTGCAATTTGTTTCTCTGTTTTCGTCCGGTTACATCAGCGCCTGCCTGCTTTGGTTTTGTTGGCTTTTGTCTCGTTTGATCCGCAAATGTCTCCTGCCTCCACCATCGTCTGGTTAGTGCACCACCCTCAATTATTCGCAATCACCGGCTTTTGCCTGCATTCATCTGGTTTTATCTGCAAACAAAGGGTTGAGTGGACTAGGGCCTCTTGTAAAACTAGTTATATTACTAAAAGTGCTCTTTTAGTTTTACCCTTACTTTCTAAGAAGTCCCAGAAGCCAACTGAGCCAACTAGTGTATTGATATACATGTCAAAATCTTGCGCTTCGAGTAAGGAAAAAAATTAAAAGGGTAGCCATATACGTAGCGTATACGTAACGCGTTGATAAGAAATGGTTCTTATCAATAAGAATGGGATCCTTATCGATAAGCGTCAAATGAGGAAAAATAAGAGCTGAAGATTTATTTCTTAATAGGTACCTATGCGACAAATAAAAAACTGTATATTTCATGTAAAAAAATTGAATAAAGAATAAAACTACAAGCATAATTTACATTAGAATAATAATAATAGTCTCTGAAGTTCGCAGTACTTAATTGATAGTTATTTACTTGTTTATTTTGGTGGTTATTGGTTTTAATTTAACAGTTACGTTTTTTTTGTTAATAAATTTTTTTATTTTAAGACTTTCAATGAAGGGGGTTGGAATCCCAAAACCCCCCTTGCGCACGGGCCTGTTGGGATTACATAAAGCCCAAAAGGGGAACAAAATGGAAAACTGAAATCCCGCCCTTGCCAACAAAGCTTTCTTCTGTTTGTTGGATGCTTGGAAAATTCACTTTACAAAAAGTAGACAGCTCTAATGTAGTATAAAACTTGTACATTTATGCTTTTCGGTAGAAACAAGGCAAATACTAAATGTATACATTTACTGCTTTCATTGGTAAAATAAATTAAAAATGATTTTAGTCTAATGCACAAAAGGTAACCGTTGAAGCCGATGTTTTTAATTTTTTCAATATGAAAATTTCGATAATTATAAGGGAAGTAGCAAAACCACAAATTAAAAGATTAGAAACTCAAATATTAAATATTTTTATTAGTCGAAAACTTCCTCATTATCCTTATAAATAATCTTGGCAATTTGTTCTTTTAGCGGTTCAGGTGGCATAACACAGCCCTTACGTTTATCGTATTGGCCCAAATAATTTTTACACGATTTGCAAAATAGCAAGAGACGACATTGGGTCATCATAAATGGCAACATACATAAAGGCCAAAATGCAACTAAAATGGAAGCCTGAAATCCCGTATTAGCTATCAAAGCTCTCTTTTTAGTTTGTTTGATAGCTGGAGAATCCACAACACTACAAATTGGACAGCAAATTTTTATTTTTCCAGGTTTCCAATTCTCCAATCTAGTGCAAAACTTGTATACTTCTTCTCCTTTCCTTTCCACATACTTTTCAACTGCTGGACAGACATTACCACATCCACATCCACTCATGTCGTCAATGTTTCTTACTACATCACCAACCATACCCTCATCTGTCAAATTCAAACAAGAACAGCAAACTCTACTTTTATTCTCCTTTTCTTTATCAAGAAGTTCCTTTAGTTTGTTTTCATAATACCCAAAACTATGCCTGCAATAAAGCCCAGAAACCATTTCGTCACAAGATTTTTCGGGCTTTTCCGTACAACAATACATCGGATAGGATTTACATACCCCTCCCTGATTAATGCAGGGTAAGTCGCATTCTGTACCGTATATTTTTTTAGCGACTGGGTCAAATTTGCCTATAGGAATTTCATCAGCGTTCCCCCTTGCTTTGGCGTAACAATAATCTTTGCCATCCAGAATATGACATTTTTTTGGAGTTTTTGGTTTTTCCTTGTGATTATCAACAGTTTTATTTTTGCATTCAGAACATTCACTTCCAGTGGTTTCATTGCTGTCTGAATTTGAAGTATCAATTGATTTACAGTCTTGTGTATTTGTATCCTCATTATCATGGTCATAAAAACAATGAAACTCGTCCATATTTATGTCATCGGGTAAGTAGAAAACATCCCTATCACCATCTGCACTTTTATACTGTTGAACTGGTTTTAAACCACCTATACTTCTTCTGCTTGCTGGTGTTTTATCATTTTTTACTATGCATATTTTGATTCGAGATGAATTTTTTCTTGGTTCTGTGCTGGGTGGTTTTGGTTCGCGTTTTTTTCTTCCGATCCTTTTTCTCTTTGGAATATTACCAGTATAATATTGATTTTTACACCCACCCATTGAAATTAATTGTATTTATAGTATTGAACTTAAATTTTGGTTGGTTATTTTTAGAATTTCAATATTGATTGAAAGATAAAATAAATTTAACACAAAAATGTCATTTTGAAGTAAAATTTGTAATAGTTTTGTTGCCAAAGATATACAAGGGTTCATAAAACGACTGTCTCAAAAAGATTTCACAAAAACCCTGTTATATCAAAATGTATGTAACAAAATAAAAGCGTTCTTTAGATATATTGTGGCATTAAGGCGCAATGAAAAAAAAACAAAATTATTGATATTTTTTCTTAACAATTGCCGTCATCAATAGGATAAAATTTAAATAAAAGTTTTTTTGTGCATTATACAGTAAATATTTGCTTTTGTAATATCTATAGCTATGTGTACCTAGGTACTTTTTCTAAACATATTTAATATGTTTAGAGAAAGTACCTTAGTACCCACATATAGCTATAATGAACGTTATGTTTCACTTTTATAACGGCAATATAACATTTTCATCCTTGTTGGAAAGTTGCATAATAACATAATATTTTAATGGATTTATGTAACGACAACGTAACATTGTTATATAACAATGTAAAGTCACTTTGAAAAGCGGGAAAAAGAAACCAATTTAAAACCATCAAGGACAAATTAGAGGTACATACAAATAGTTAAATTAATTCCCAAACGAAACTAGAGGCCCAAAAAACTAAACAGCCCAGGGCATGTTTCGGCTGTCGGCGGCCCTGATCAGTTTATGTAACTGCAATGTAACACATTGTTACATAACAAATTGGTTAATGTTATATTACAGTGTTGACCTTAATTAAGTTATACTATCAAAAGTAAAAATTTGCTTTAAGTTTTGTAAATAATAATGAAACGGACTATAGGAAACATTAAGAAGTATAGCGCGAGTTGGTACAAATTCACAGTCGAGTTCTTCAAGAAATGCAAAATGATATTGCAGTAATTATAATTGAGTCGGCTGCAAGTATATTTTAAATGCAAATCAATTTTAATAAATAAATTTAAAGTTGCCCTGAAGAACTTTTTAAGAATATAAAATTAAAACTAAATGGTTTAGTCTTGAAGACCCTTTTAGGATGGGCCCTTTTTGGCTATAGAAGCTGCTTTATGATTTTAAGTTTTATTGTATTGTTTTAAAGCGAACTTGAAGTTCGCAATAATAGCATTAGCCTTACTTTTACCTTAAACCTTATAAGGTGCTTCGCACTATCACACAAGCATCGCGAATCACCAGATTCGAGATTCAAGACCAAGACCAAGCAGAATGTTTTACCACTTATATACGCATACGGAACTCCGTGGAGGTGCGATAGTCTCCAGAATAAATAACACAAACATGTCCGCAAAAATATATCTTGGAGACACCTAACGCTACCTTATTCTACACCAAATAAGGTGTAGCGACCACCTATAAAGGTGTAGCGCAAACACTGGAAACAGTGCCAAGCGAAACAAAATGTGTTGCAATTTGTACAAAACTGTCAAAAATCGACGGCTCACATAAATGGATATTTAAATATAAAAGGTAGGTATGTGATAAGTGGCAATAACGTTAAAATAACTAAATCTACCACGATACAGTTGGGGCATTCCACGTTACTCGGTAATTTTTGTCCCGCCCGTCACAATTAAAAATTGTGAGTAAAAACCACAAGTTAAGTAATATTTTATAATATTATTTTTATTGTGCTTATAACTTATTAAAAGCACAATAAATCAATATTTTTAAATAAATTTTATAACGTGTAGTTTTTACTCACAATATTTAATTGTGACGGGAGGGACAAAAATCCCCGAGTAACGTGGAATGACCCAGTTGAAATATCTCCATATTATATTAGCATAGTTGTAATCATGTGATTTGCACCATCAGAATAATACATATTTATTGGTTTCAGGTAGGGTTGGGAAAATTTCACTTTTTGCTTGTACTTGAAATTTCACTTGAAATTTTCATGACATTTCTGAAATTTCATGAAATTTATGAAATTTATTGAAACTTTCAATAAATTTCAATCAATTTATAGGGTAATAAATTAATATTGAAATAAGCCCACTCGGGGACCATGGCAAATTGCCTCTCTTACCTCCTACCCCTCTGTGGGCCCCTGCACCAATAATATAAATAGTAAATACCTATGTTTACCACTTGAGATTTCCTTTTAAAATATTTTTAAAATTACTAAAACTACTTCTTTTATATTTATATATATTTATTATTTTTAAATATTTTACTGAAATTTTACGAAAATTGAAGAAACTTCATCAAAATTTTATGAGCCAAAAGCATTTTTTATCCGTTTTCCGATGCAATTTTAGCAAAAGTAAATCTGATTTAATTTACAAATTATATTGGTAACTGAATTAAATTATTTAAATTAATTTATGCATATAAGTAACAATAATTACTTATAGTGTATTCAAATCCAAGCCGAACTAAACAAAAACGCCCAGACGCTTGATAACTCGTTCTTATTGGTCGATTCGGAATCTATTGTAAATTATTATTAAAGGTCCCAGGGGAGGCCGCATGTGAAATTTATGCGAAATTTTCAGTAAATTGCGAAACTTTCAATGAAATTTCTGAAACTTTCACAGGCAATGTTGAAATTTTCGGATTGAAAATTTTCATATTCGCTAAGTTTATAGATTTTTATATTCTTTTTTCTACCCCTATTACGGAATGACCGTTCTAATATCACTTTCAGGGGCGCTGGAATGTTTTGAAAGCGTGTGTTGAGTAGGTCTATAGACTTGTAATGCCTCCTAAACTATGACTATAGTCATAGTTTAGGAGGCATTACAAGTATTACGTAAGCAGGATAAGGGGTGGGGATTCAGTTTTTGGATTACATGGCTGTGGGGTCTAAAATCATGTAAAGTGTGCTTTCGTAATACCTAAACGCTCATTTAGGGGGACCTTTGAAAAGTAAGTTATTTCAAGCAATGGCAATAAATTATAGTGTTGTTTAGTGTACTTAAAATAAAAACATTATTACCTACAATATTTTTATTTCGAAAAGGTCTTACAAAAGATCTTTTGACAAAGCAAACACATTGGTTCGTTTCGCATTTCTATATATAAAGTCGTCCATCAGATTTTCCAAATTTTGTTTGCCAACTCGTGGTAAATATGTAATAATGCAACATTATTCAAACATTTTTGTCCCATCTTGTTTCGCACGTACGATTTTAATCGGGATTTTAATCCTTTAAGGGTTGAAAAACTCGTTTGACCAAGAAGCTGAAATCGTAATTAGTAATCGAACAAATGGTAACAATTCAGGAAAAAGGCCCTTGGCCCATTTATTTTTTCGTAAAATATCCACGACCTCTCCCAAATTCTTTAATTCAAATTTACTTCTGCGAGCCAAATCTAGAAAAATTTCTCTATCGCTGACTAATTCTTTATAAAGAATCGCTGACTAATTCTTTATAAAGATTGTTTATTAAAACCATTTTTATAGAATAGGACAATTTCATCTATTTCGCCGAGCACAGAGATCAAAATAAACAATTCGCTGAAGTTGTTCCAAAGTGGCATTTCAATGATGAAAGAATTTGATCGTAAACTTCTTAATACATTTTTCTATACATATCTTCGGCAGTCTGAATAACATTATTTTTTGATTAAGAATTGAAACGTTTCGAAATTATTTTACGTCGTGGCAATTCGGCTTCTTTCACTTTTAATTTTTTAGAACTTTCATTAGCTTGAATCCAAATTGGTTAAAATTTCTCGTCCCGAGGTAAATTTAACGAGTACGATACAGCATCAACTTTTTGAAAAGAGTTAGTTAAGAATTTTGCAAAGGTTTTCAATCTTAGCCAAATGAGCATATATATATATATATATATATATATATATATATATATATATATATATATATATATATATATATATATTGTTGGGTTGGGTTGAGTGAAATTTATAGATCCGAAAAAAAAATTGTCGAATTCCATTTGTTGAATTCCACACATATAATTTTCACGTGTGTTGAGCTCCAAACACACGCAACAGGCCTTCCGGCGCCCCTGATCAATTTTATTTAGCCAGAGCTACCAGCCCCCTGCCCTCCCTTATTAAGATAAATCAAATTAAATTGGTGTTATTTATAATTTACTACAGTTCAAGAATTTTAATTTTTTTTAAATCCTTGTTTTGCAGATTTTACACCATTTTAAACTTTTATTATTTCAATACTAAAAAAAATATAAAATCTGTAATACCTACATCTGTACTTACTGTAAATTTGTCGATAAACTTGTGGGGACTAAACCCGTAATTATGTTGTAAATATTTTAGTACCCTGAGCCGTTTCTTTCAACACAGCAAATTTCCCATCATTTGCATTACTTGCTTACCTTTACCTCTCCTTTACCTTTATAAATTAAATCTAAAAATATAATAGACTTTATTACTTTTTGGATTTTTGCCTCGTTTTAAATATTTTTATACCTACTCCCTACTCCGACCAACGGAGGAAGATCGGAGAGCGGTCATCGATCACTACGTCCTAATTCATCGTCTTGAATACATCGGCTCCGGGTAGCTACACGCTAAGTTTGTATATAGTTTGTGTATAAGTGTGTATATAATAAAGTTAAGTTTGTATATACCCAATCAATCAATTCTCTTACCTACCCGAACACCCAGTCGCTAAAAACTGTTGTAAATTATAAATTACATCACTTTAATTTAAATTATCTTAATTAGGGGGGCAGGGGGCTGGGAGTTCTGGCTGAAAAACTAACTTTTTCCGCAAACTTCAATTTTCCATATTTAATAAATGAGATATTGATATACCCAAAATCCACCAGCTTCCACAAAATGTTTGTTTGTATTTATTTAGCATTAGTTATTTTTATTATGTGTTAAATTCAATTTTAACAAATAAATTATTTTTAAGAACTATTATTTTGTTTAAATTTAACTCCTTAATCAATTTAAATAAACACCTACAAATTGACCATATTAATTACAAATTTAAGTACGTGGAACAGTTAATCTTACTAACTTCTCCCAAAAGAAAAAGGTAACATTTAACAAGAGCACTGGTTTTATAAAACCAATACTATAAAAGTAAATTTAAGTACTACTCTAGTGGCCAATTAAGCCATTTATTTAAAT